TACAGTTCGTAGCGCGTACCGCGCCTACCGAAATTACCGAAAACGAGTCGACATTAATCCTTAATTAGTCTCCCATTAGTCCATCGAGCCCATGCTACCGAACATGGGTCTAGACGGTCAAGAAAACGAGCGGAGTTTCCTTTTAATTTCGTAATATGTTATTTATGCCTACGAGGGAAGCTAATGCGGGTCCCATTTGTATACGAATGAGAACACATTTTGAAGTAGAATAATACAATTAGGGTCGACTAAAAAGCAGCTTTAATTTAAATTTTAAAATATACGGCGCGCGAGTATATCGTGCTGATTACAAAATTGCTTGTTACTTTTCTCGCGCTTGAGTCTAGTTAGAAAATTAACGTAATAAAACTACCCATTATATCATTCATTGTACAAGATAATATATAGTCCTCTGAATTAGTAGGAATTTAGCTGACGCGGAATTAGAATGTGCGAGATACAATTTTACATGTTTCTAAAAAAGATTCTTTCCAAATCTTGTCTGCTCTTTGAGCTATTCGAATTGAGGACGACTTTCAATGCCTATTATTCAAATACGCTTTCAAATAAAATGTAGAATAAGTAGACTACAAGATTAATGCTAGGTTTTAATAAACACTCTTCTGTTTTTCTTTGCGTCAACGAACAATGAAGCGAAAAAAAAAATGCTTAAAACCTAGCGCTAGCCTTGTAACTCATTTATTCAACATATTAATTTTGTTAGAAACCTTAAGGCCAGTGCCGCATTATATTATTAATGCTTTCAAATAAATTTCGTTATCGCGAAGCTTCGATATAATGGCGCCGATGTTTTGCCTCGCAGATCCACCTGGTCAACCGTACATCGAAGGCTACACCGAGGGCGAGACCGTGCAACGCGGTCAGAATGTGGAGCTCTCCTGCCGATCACGCGGCGGAAATCCGCCGGCCGATATCATCTGGTACAGGAACGGCGAAAGGATCTCGTCGTTCACTCGCCGGGAGAACACCTTCAGCGAGAACGTGCTCTCGTTCATAGCCCGCGCGGAGGACGAGAAGGCCCGCTACAGATGCGAGGTCTCCAACGTCATGAGCGTGCAGCCCATGAAAGTGCACGTCGATCTCACTGTGCTTTGTAAGTGTGCGCTCGCGCGCGTCCGATAATTGCGCGCGGTGAGGTAGCGGTAAAACGTTGCAAATTGCATTTCGAGAAACGCTCTGAGAAATTCTCCGTCTTCATCCATCCTTCACGCGTCCCGCGCGCTTACATCTTTCACATAATTATAGAATATATTATTGTCTCCTGCATATATAATACATTAATTCACGTAAAATAACATGAGAAATTTGAGTTTAATGCACTTAGCGTTGCGAGTGTGTTACTTGTCTCTTTTATGCAGTATTGTAAATTATATAATTATTCCTTAACAAAAACTAATTACTCACCGAAATACCTCGATTTAATTTTTTTCCTGTTGCATTTGATATTTTTAGATTTTTCTTATTTGTTGTACTAATTTAATAAATTATTTAATTAATGCGAGTCTATATAAATATGCTCAGGAAATAAAGACTGAAAAAGAATAGAGAAAAATATGAATGTGTCACTCTGCAGGTATCATGCTTTTAAATTGTTTTTAAACTTTACGGAGAATGCATATTTCTCGCGAGCGATACTTGAAATGTATTTAAGGTGTTAGAATATTAATGTCGTCTGGAGCCTGTCTGTGGCATTTACCATTACTTTACCGCAAGGCATAGTATTGCACAACTAAGGTTGCATAGCGTATGGACGATCTCTTGCCGACGGAACAGCGGCATAAATAATTCTGCTTCCTATTTTCACCGAGGCTACGTTCGTGTTACCTAAATTGAAATTTTGCTAACTTTATGTTCGCATGATATATGGACAAAATACCGAGGCTGGCTTACCGCACACTTAAAATAAAAGATTACGGTTGTCGACACTATTGTAGTTATTGGCAGCCTGTCGGCGAACTTTATTTAATGTATATTTTTATGGTCGATATAAAAAAATAAAAATTTACGGCAGCGAAAGATATTGGTTTCTCAAAAGTAATACACTGGTTTTCCGCAGAAATTCCTTCCGTAAAATATTAATAAAATATTAATATAAAGGTAAAAATTCAACAATTGTATGCTATGCTACATCGATATGCTAATTTTTATTTATGAAACATTTAGATTTAGCTAGATTCGAGAAAAACCTGCGGATCAGTTATTGAACCCATCTATTTGTTATTTCCACGTTTTTTGAATCTTTGAGTGAATTAATTCGAGCTGTTTATGATGCGTAGTTGCGCCTGCTGGAGTCACCATTACCGGCCCGACGGAGGCGAAGGCGGACGACCAGGTGCACATTACCTGCATGACGGAGAACTCAAATCCGCCCGCGGACATAAAGTGGACGGTGGACGGGCATAATTTCGAGAGTAACAGCTCGAAGACGGAGCCAGCACCGAACGGCGGCTGGATCACCACCTCGAACGTGACGTTCAGCATTAATCGCAAGAGCCGTAGCATCGTCGTCATCTGCCACGCTTCCAACGCCAAGCTCACGGAGAACGTGGTCGGCACGCACACCATCAACGTGATATGTGAGCGTCCCTCTTCTCTCTATCGTACAATTTCGCTAGTCACTCGCTACAAGTGCACTATGCGGGCACATCGCAGTCGTAACGAGGCTCCATGCTCTCCCGCCCGCGGCGAAAACCTAATTTCCGCCCCGCGTCAAAGAACCGGTACCGGGTGTCCCGGAACTGCCGTGAGATATTTCACGGAAAGACTTTTCGATCGTCAATTTGCGATATTAAATTTCTCG